CATCTGGGTTCGTGAGGGTCAGAGTGCTTGCGTTCGGCAGCACTTGGTCCATCATCATCATCGAATGTCGGTGGGTGTCCTTCAAGGATGGACGCGTTGTCGACTGCTGCGGTGGCACCGGTGAGGGGGCCATGCTTTTCCGTCTGGTCTTGGGCGACGTCTTGGGTCCAGTACGCTGGAGGCTAGCGCTTGTCGCGCTGAGGAAGGTGGAGTTTGCGACCTTGAGTAGAGATGGAGGTAAAGCGCGTAGGAAGCGCTGCGATCGCGGAAGTTGTTGGGTAGGTGGTGAGTCCTGACTGATGCCAATGGGCGCCATTTGCGATGGCGGTATCCAAGGCGCAAGAAGGTGCACTCTACCACGGATATGTTGTGGCATTCGTAATGATGTTGCCAAAGCGTAGACAGCTCCTGCGGAGTGGGCTAACATGGAAAACTTGTTGATTTTCAAAGACTGACAGATCACAAGTACGTCGTCTAGTAAATGTTAGCTCGTTTCTCTCGAGATGACGGGATGTTCACATACCAGGCCAGCTAAGAGGTGTGCCGTTCGGATCAACTTGGCTACCTCCGATACCAGGGCGATCAGGTGTGATCAAACGTAGCTTCAAAGTGGCTGCCAGCTGATCATAGAATGCCATGACGTATCTGGTCAGACCCATGCCTACACAAACAAAGACAGCAAAACCTTCGGGGTCACCGACTTCTGAGAAAGAAATAATCCTTCCTGTTTGCGGATGCCGGATCTTCTGGGACAGCCGGGATGATTCCAGGTATTGGTGTACATCTAAATCGATAGAATCTAAACTTGCAGGTCGCTCCTCGATGATTGGATGGGGCGGGCTCTGCACTGCAGCTGCTCTGGTCTTCTCTTCTTTCCGGTCAATCCTGTCATTATGCGCTTTCTCGGCCTTCGCTGGCAGATCGGGATGCGACCACCTCTTGCTGGTACTTGTACGTCTGCGCTGTAGCTGCATACTGTGTGACTCTAACGGAGGGGACACAACGTGCATGGAGCGATGTCGAGTGATAGGCTCTTCGCTGGCCGCACGAGAGGGTGGCGCCAGTCTATTTGTCGAATCTTCGTTCGCACTGGAGGAGTGTTTGTGCTTGGAAGACTTGCCTATGATGACGGAACTGGTCGCCGCTCGACGGCCGAGCGCAGATCGCCCGCCGACTGCCAAGAGTGAATTTGATCGCTGGGGTACGGAAGAGTCGCTGCTTGACTTGGTTGCTTTAGACATGATGCTTGCAGGCGCAGGCGATCTCGACTGCCGTGGATCTGCTAAGCTCGGCGTCGGCGCAGACTCGTCCAGACTTTGGAGCGCAAGCGTGTAATCGATCGGAAGTGGGGTAAGCTCATCGCCGTCGTTCAACGTCAGACTTCGGTGCCGCGAGTGGCGCAGACTGCGTGGTTGCGATGGTACCGAGAGGTTATGGCGGTCACCTTCTGCTTTTTCGGCCGGTCTGTCCATCGGCCTTTCCGTTAGCTTCTCGGCAGCTAAGGCTGTTTCTTGTGATATTCCAAGCACTCGATGCGCCTTGGTCGAATTCTGCACTCTCCTTTCGTCCTCCGACAAGCTTGAAACTGTCGAGATGGGCGAGGACTCCGGACTGGGGATGGATGAAACGCGAGGCACCCTGGGTGTTGTCGCCCCTGCATGTACGTCCACAGGCATTTTTCCGGCTAACTTCTCTCTCCGCATTTTCTGATCTCTTAATTCTCGGATCCTTTGAGCGACTTCATTCTCTTCCTGTTCTAGCTCGTCCAGGATCTTCTTCTTCCTTTGTGCTTCCGGATCCATCTTCTCTTCCTCTTCGGGGACCATGTCGGCTTTCTGAGACTTTGGACGGCTCTTGTCCCCGGATCGGCGCTTCTTGCTCTTGCGGGCCGGGCTGCCAGTATGCCTCAGGGATGATCCGCGTTCAGGAATGAGTCCGCTGTCTGATGGACTTTCCAAATGAGGGGCATCGACCAGATTGAGACGCAGTCGTCGTGGGCTGTTGTTCCTGCTGGGATACCGCTGGGCAAATCTCGACGATTCAGGCACTGTCTCGTCGAATCGTGCGTCTTCCTTCGCGGATGATGGCTCTTCGCTGATCGTGTCTTCGTAGGGGAAGAGTTGGTGCGCGGCCTTCTTGGAGGGGTCACCGGTCGGCGTGTCGTTCAGATTGTGTACGGTCACGCGCTTCCGTTCCGTCTCTTTTTGTCGTAGTCGCTCGCGCGAGCTCATGTACATCAGGCTCTTGTGGCCCTTGAAGCTCCTCTTGCTTTCCAACGACGACCTCGCGCTTTCACCCGATACCTGGCGCGGCACGCCTGCTTCGACGCTGATGTTGCCAAAACTGCTCGCCGACCGGTTCGAATGGGTCGATTGTAGGGAGCACGAGCTACCACCGCTGCGTCCGATATAACTACTAAGCGAATGCGCTTTGTTCGGTTTCTTGGGCGCGGTCAAGGGCGACTTGCCGGATGGGGGCTTGGACGTGCGGATGACAGGCGGTTCGCATGCGTCGTCGGGGTAGAGGTCGTTCTGGTCTCTTATTGGGTTGTGGAAGCTGCTGCGGTCCACCGACGCTCCATCATGCCCGGCGATCGAGTTCTTCTCCGAGTGGGTGCGCACGCTGGGCGCGGCGGAGGGCGCGAGGCCGTTGCCGTAGCCGACGAGGAGATTCTCAAAGTGGTTGTGCGCGGGGATGGATATGGCCGACAGCTGGTCGATCAGCGACGAGATGACCTGGGGCGAGGCGGCCGTGGTGCGTATGTAGTTGGGCGTGCGCTTGGCCGGGCGCGCATCCGATGTTTTGACAGACGATGGCAGAGAGTCGCGCCGCCGCGACTTCAAAGTCTGGGTCGCCGGGGCGGTAGTGGCTGCATCGGCGGCCGTGGGGGGAGAGCGAACGGGTTGCTGGTAATCCATCTGCGCCGCGTGCTGCACGAGAGAGGCCCGTAATCCAAATCGGTAGGCCCTCTATGTTAGGTGTCTGGAATGCTGCAGTCTTGATGATCAGTGCATGGTTGGCATGCAGAGTCCGCGAGTCCGGTAATCATGCGCGTCGCGACCTGGCCGTGGTAAAAGACTGGTAGAGAGAACTCCAAAACTGCACAACGTCTACAAAGTCCAGAAAGATACCAGAAGAACAAAACATCCGCCGAAGAGATGGGACGCCTGTGTTTAATTGCATCGGGCGGCGGGTGCCCGAGGCGAATTGAACCTCCTCAGGGATAGTGATGGTCGTCGCTGCCATGGCAGGGGCCACCGCCTAGTCTCAGTTGAGCGACCCCGAGAACTCTAACCCCTACTATAGCACATTTCTTATACCACATGAACCGCCTCTTGGGGTCGTCCCACGTTTACTTCTTGTACCCATTCATCTGCCTTCGTGGACCCTTTGCCTATCATCTATTCTTTGCCGTTGCCATGCGCCGCTGTCTGCGCTTGAACTGCACGCCCGTTCAGCTGCCGGTCCTCATGCACAGTGCACATTACTCGTGCTTGCTCATGCAGGACGACTGATCAGCATTAGCTCTGGCACCGTTTCGACGCGTCTCAATTATGTTTCTGCTGCTCGTTTCTCCTTTTTTCACTCGCTTTATGCTCGTGCGTGGCCTCATGGCCTCATGTTCATGCTATGAACCATCGCATCCCGCGCCCGTCTTTGTCATCCTGTGAGCTGGGACTCTCGGAGAATAACGCACACACCACACAATTTATCTAAGACCCGGGAGCAGCCGGATATCTGCCAGGTTACCCTTCGTCATCTGCGGACCAGGACTTTGAAGCCGAGCACCCTTGCTCAACGTACGTTTAAGAAGATTGCCGTGCCGCCATAGACAATACTCAGGCCGTTTCATGGAAGCGGTGCGCGAGACCACACAAAGACGCAAATTGAAGACTGCATGGACGCAGTATCTATAGAAACTGCTGCTAAACTTCGCTATCTATCATGACCCAGCCAATCTGATACAGTTACGGCGTTCGAGACCTACGCTGTCATCCGTCTGGCATACATCCTTCCACGACCAGAACGCCAGATTGCTTTGCGCCATCGATTGAGGCCCGCGCCCTACCCAGCCCGTTGCAGCGATTCTAGCCCTGGGACACTACTTTGGGCTCACTGGATGCTGCGCCGACTTCGCGACCCTCTATCTGCGAGGCTGCCCTCTTCTGTCTGGCCGACTTCCTCTTTTGCGCGATAATAACACAGACAATGCTGATGACTATAACCGAGACTGATAACATGGCCCCGATGATAACGAAGATGTAGGATCTGTCGCTCGCCATGTCTTCGGTAATGAGCGCACTCGGTGGTAATTTGATTTTGGAAGGATAATAAAGTGCAGCCACGACCCGCAAGAGACACATGGCTTCTGTTAAGTATGCAACTGGTGCATGCTGTTTGAAGCTTACCACTTCGAACGGTATAGGGAGAAGTACACGTTATGCTACCAGATAATCTTAACTGTTCATTGTCCTGTTCGATGGTCGACTGACCCAGACTACCACAAGCGCAATGCAAGTCCATCCGCATTTGTTGTCATGGAGACCAAGCAGGGCACATGACGAATTTTGCACTCTATGTGACCGTTGTAGACAATTCACGATCTGCTCTCTGATCTATACGTATATACGTCAGGATTGTTGTGCTCCAGGTCGTTCAGCACTCCCATGTCGCGATAGGGCGCTGACGTATGCCAAGCCCGATCATGCCCAAGCAAGCGTGGCCAGGTGCACGTGGACCCGCCGGGAAGCTACAGCGGCCTTACCCTTTCGGCTTACAACACGGTCCTTCCAGAACTACGCATCTTTCTGTGCATAGTCTTCCTTGCACCGTCAGAGCTTGAAGGGTGTGCAAAAGGAAGCACCAGGCTTGAGCCAGCTCCTGTCTCGTGCCGTCCGCATGCGCCACTACACGACCGACAAACCACGCCGTGACCGCTTGACAAGTCTTGCCTTATCACACTCGTTGATAGCTTCTATCCCAGTCACTAATCGCGCATAATGGAGAAATCGAAGTCGAGACTAAGTTCCCCAGAACGATCCAGCTCCGTCGCGTCCAGGCCTACAGCATCGCGCACTAGCAGTCAGGAGCAGCTGGATGACATCGAGAAGGCGTCGACTGCAGTCGGTAGCCCACAGACCTCTCCGCTTGAGTTCAAACCCGAAGCCGATCTCGACAAATTACCTGGTCATGGAAAGCCACGAAGAGAGTCGGAGTCCACCAAATTTGGCGGTGAAGAAGAAAATCCCAACGTCAATGTATCGTTCCACAGACCTTCCACTCCATCTACGGTTCATAAAGTCAAGGGCTCGACCTACCAGAATGTCGGAGAGAGCGGGATTAAGAGAATGCACAAATTCTCGCTCTACGAAACCAGTACCCGCTTCTATCTCATTGGTGCCGACATTACCGACAGGCAGTTTCGCGTGCTGAAGATCGATCGGACCGCTGCACCTGGACATTTGAACATCTTTGAAGACGATATAGTGTATAATCGGCGAGAAATGCATCAGTTGCTCGATACGATAGCTGACGGCAACAAGGCTACAGGGGGGATGAAGTTGAAGTGCAGCACATGGGGCCTGTTGGGCTTCATCCGGTTCACGGAGGCGTACTACATGTTATTGATATCCAAAAGATCGCAAGTAGCCATGTTGGGCGGTCACTACATTTATCAGGTCGATGGCACGGACATGGTGCCATTGACGACTGGATCAACATCAAGGTACCAGAAAGACCGCAATCCGGAAGAAGCGAGATTCTTGTCCATCCTCAACAACATGGACCTCACACGATCATTCTACTTTAGCTATTCTTACAACGTTACGAGGAGCCTGCAACAGAACATCATTCATCAGCGGACTGCACTTAGTGAAGGCATTTCCAACCCTGAACGCGATTTTCAGGATATGTTTGTTTGGAACCATCATCTCCTGAACCCTGCGCGAGACGCACTGAAGAACGTCTACGACTGGTGTCACCCAGTCATACATGGATACGTTGATCAATCTTCGCTGGATGTTTTTGGGCGACGAGTATACCTTACCATCATTGCCCGACGATCAAGACATTTTGCCGGTGCTCGTTTCCTCAAGCGTGGAACAAACGACCTTGGATATGTCGCCAATGACGTCGAGACAGAGCAAATTGTGTCCGAGCAGACCACGACTTCCTTCCATGCTCCTGGACCACGCCTCTATGCGAATCCCTCTTACACATCCTACGTCCAGCACCGCGGTAGCATACCGTTATACTGGACGCAAGACAATACTGGTGTGACACCAAAGCCAGACATCGATTTGAATCTCGTGGATCCTTTCTACAGCGCAGCAGGACTGCATTTCGATAACCTGTTTGAGCGCTACGGTGCCCCGATCTACGTTCTCAACCTTATCAAGGCGCGTGAACGAACTCCGAGAGAGTCGAAACTGCTTTACGAATACAAGCACGCTATCGACTACCTCAACCAGTCGCTACCAACTGACAAGAGGATCATATATGAGGCTTTCGATATGTCAAGAGCAGCCAAAACCAGAGGACAGGATGTCATTGGCACGTTGGAGAACCTTGCTGAAAAGGTCTTGCGGAAGACAGGGTTCTTTCGCAACGGCGACAATGAGTATGATGCGCCTCAAGTGCAGAACGGAGTGGCGCGAACGAATTGCATCGACTGTCTAGACAGAACCAACGCTGCTCAGTTCGTCATTGGAAAACGAGCACTAGGTCGACAATTGCAAGCGCTTGGTGTCATATCCGGTAATACTGTCGAGTACGATTCGGACTGCGTCGAGCTGTTTACGCAGATGTTCCACGGTCATGGTGACACTATCGCCATCCAGTATGGTGGCTCGCATCTCGTCAACACGATGGCTACCTACCGGAAGATCAACCAGTGGCAAAGTAGTTCTCGCGATATGGTTGAGAGCTTCAAGCGCTACTACCACAATTCCTTCCTCGATTCACAGCGTCAAGAGGCATACAATCTGTTTCTGGGTAACTACGTTTACCGCCAGGGCCAGCCGATGCTATGGGATCTATCAACAGACTACTTCCTCCACCACGAAAACCCACAAAACTTCCTCGAGCGCACAAGACGAGACTATATCCAGTGGTACACACATTCGCATCTTCAACAACGCACACTACCACCTTCAGTCATGCCAGCTCTACCAAGTGAGGAATCAACATTCGACTTCATCAGCTTCCGTGATGATTACTGGCTCGAATACTATCGACCATTGGCTATCTCGTCATATCTCAAAATATTTGCCTTCCGTTTAGCCAAGCCGCGACCAGGTCTTAGGGATGGAACGTATCCATCTCGTAAGGAGAACATGTCTCCGTTCGTCCCCCGTACGAAGCAACAGGATCACGACGCACAAGGAAGGGATGGAAAGAAGGCTCCTCGGAAAGGTGTGACCATCATTGACCCTTCGAGCGAGACTGAGTCCAAGCCCGATCATACCCCAGGCAACCGGAGGAGGGATCTGCACCTTAGCGCTACCTACGCAGAATCATCAGTCCGACATTCCATTCTTCGGGAATCGCATTTCGAAACCCACCCGTCAGCACCACCGCCGTCAGCATACCAATCGTTGGCCAATTCCATGTCCACGTCAACTGGCCTCTCGTCCACGCTCAAACCCGGTTTCAAGCCCGCTAACAAAGCGCTCGTTCACCAGTGGACATTAACCCAATTCTATGAGAACAGCATGAATCCATCGGTATCCTACAGCGAAGAAGAAGAATACGCCCGCTACATCGAACACCCGCTTAACCTACCTTTGGTTGTCAGTAGCGAGATGCCCACCGCCGACGACCCCAGTGCGATGGAATTCTACGACTACCTTTCCATGACAGAAGGCAGCATCCCCGCGCCCAAGAACTTCGATGAAGATGGCGTTCAAATAACCCTCTCTGATCTACCCCGTTTGGACACCGAACTCGCAAACCAGTCCTTCGCCCGCCCCATGACCTCACAATCTGTCAGCACGCCGTTCTCACACGCGCCCTCCTACTCGTACCCGCACACGTACAATCTGCACCCGCACGTCTACGCGGATGTTCAGGAGCCGCCTCCACAGCCACAGTCTACTGGAAGCAAGTTCCAAACGCCGGAAGAAGATATCGAGGAGTTTGAAGAATTTCTGCGCGTCAAGGAGAACCCGTTGGACGTCGAAGAGGAAGATACGGCGAAGAAGAGATACAAAGCTTACCGGCAGTGGTTGAGAGGTAAGAGCTTCTTCAAACAGAGTAAGGTTGATCCTGAGTGGCAGGCACAGTTGCCTGTGCGGTAGTTGGGAAGGTTGTTCATGTTGGCATGGGGCTCGGTTTTGATTACTTGGAATGCATTTGAATCTCACTGGGCCATGTTGTGTCTGATCTACATGACTCTGCCCATCTACTATTACACTATCTCGTCTGTCATACCTGCAAGTACCCCTGCGCCAACAATTCCTCCGTCCTTGGCCTCCTTGAGTGTAACTTGCTTGTTCTTGTTTGATGATGAACCCTCCTCGACAAGGACGTCTATCCATTGCTGGCATGTCTGCAGCCACTTTGGATACTGTGATATAGTTCCTCCAGCGTACGCTATGACCAGTTCCTCGATTTCGCGTTTGCCCTTTGCACTGGTGCCGTTGCTTGGAGATTGCTGTTTGTCTAGCGCGACGTCACCCACACAGTTCAGCAGTCCAACACATGCGGCAGCAATGAGAGCTGAAGAGCGCTGTTGCACAGCCTCGGCGATATCCCGTATCAATTCCACCTTATCGACAGTCCAGAAGAAATCATCCGAGTTTGCGTCTGGGTATTTGCTTTCGAGCTCCCCTTGTACGATACGACCGCCCTTTCGCGCAACGACTTCGGAAAGGAAGCGTGTCGGCAGGGCATTCTTCAGCATCAGCGATGACGGTATTTGTACGCCTTCCTCCTTTGACACGACGTCGACGAACACCAAGCGTACAATCTCACCGAGATACCGCCCGGAGGTCATGTACTCGAACGGTTGGAAGCCTGGTGCGTCGCTGTTGGCGTCTAGTGTCATGTCCCATGGTGTCCTGATGTTCAGGTCGACTAGCGGCTTGTCGGTGCCACGGATGGTCCACTCTGTGTTGATGACCACTGTTTTCGTAGCATCGGGATCTGGAAGTACGCTTCTTTTGTCGGGGTGCAGATTTTCGGGCTTCATTGGTACGGTGGCATTGGTGCCAGTGCCGACGATGAGGCCCATGGCTACGCGGCTGTTGGGGGCCGCTTTGGCCGCATAGGCTAGAGATGCGAACGTCGCTACTGTGTCGTTAGTAATGGCTGCTACCCGTATCCTTGGCAGTTGTGACTTGGAGTGCTTGAGCTGATCTGATGTAGCATCTATGTCACAGTATCGCGCATAGCCAGCCAAAAGCATCTTTCCTAGATTGAGATCCGATGTGATGGCGAACCCTTTGCCCATCGGCAGTAGCGTCGCTTCTGAGAGACGCGTTTGTCTGGATGACCTGTTAGTGAGATGTCGCGGTTCATTTAGGAGCCCACTTACGCCATTGGGAAGCTGAAAGTGATACCGAGCAAAACCTCATCACCTAGAGGAGACGTGACGTCTTCCGTGGTCTCCTGTTCCTTGAGAGCGTCCTTGACAACCTCAGCGATGCAGTCACCAATCCAGGCAAACAAGTCCTCGGCTTGGTCCATCTTCAAGTGATCCTCAATCGGCCAATTCTTGTCATGACTCCTCTTGATCTGTGAAAACACGTTCTCCCCGACAGTGCTGCTGCGTGTCCGCTCATCCTCTGGGCCGCCATCTGGCTCTCCGATTAGCTCAACGAAGCCGACTCTCAGATTCGTGCCACCAACATCGATGCTCAAAAATTTTCCCTTCTCTTTGCCCGTGGGGAGCGCCGTGACTGGTGTGACTAGGAAGTGCTCAGTGGAGGATTTGGCGAGGTGAGTGTAGGTAGCCGAGAATTGAAGCGCCAGATCAAGCAAAGTGCTCGTATTGATAAAGCCGGTCAAAGCTTGAATCGCAGCCGGCGCATCGTCCTGGTGATCATCTGACGCCATGTTTCGGGTCGGTACCTGGCTCAGGAACGGGTCTTGGGTGACGATGCAGGGCTGCTGTCACATGTATTATGGAGGCGAATCGGGGATTGGGTGCGGCCTTGCCGGTGGCAGAAGCAGACGATATGTCTAAAGGTGGGTTATTAGAACGTTAGAAAGAGTCATTCCATCATGAGCGAAAGAAGCGAAAGGAAAACGAGAGGCGTAAGATTGCAAGCGTTACGCGCGCAGCAGATCAGTCGTTCATGAGGTAGGATCCGTGTAGCCCCTCCGAAGCTCGGTGTTACATTCGTGTAGAACGCCACACGGCTACAGCATGACGGCTAATTGTTACGCCGTGCTCTGCTGCCTCCTCGGCTCTTTCCACGTGTTGGGCGCGAGGACGAGGATTGTGGATAAGGCGTCACGTCATTGAAGAACGCGTCTTGACAACTTCCTCGACGCTCATGAGATATAGAGTTTAGATTATTTTGTTTTTGCCTGAGCCCTAGATCCGCCACTCACAGCCTTGACACGTTAGTCGACACGCTATCAGCAGTGACCCGAACGCCTATCAGTCCATCTCTTGCCGCATTCGACTTCGTCCATCCCATTACAAGCGCATCGTGTCCAGCAAGCCAGTCCAGACCACCAACCACCTATCACGAAATTCCCCTATACGAGACGCTACATAAGAGCCGCACACCGCACCGACGCCATCCCGCGCAATGGAAGAAAAGGCGCCCCTCCTCCCCAACTCGCACGTCGATGCAAACGCGCCGCCGCCTGACGAGACCATGGTATCGCGCAAGACGAGGAAGACACGGCTGCAGATGGCGGCCCTCGTGCTGGTGTTCAGTCTGTTCTTGCTAGCGCGCCAGTTCACCTGTATGGACTTACATGATGAAGCCGATACCAAAGTGCCAGTAGACGTGCACATCATGTCCAAATGCCCGGATGCGCGCGACTGCCTGAAGAAGCTCGTCCTGCCTGCCATGGCAAATGTGTCAGACAAGGTCGACTTCCGGTTGAGCATGATTGGAAGGTACGACGCATTACCCACGCGGAAGGTGCAGACCACGTAGCTGACAAACACGCAGTCTAACAGCAGACGACGGCGTCGAATGCAAGCACGGCCAAACCGAATGCCTGGGCGACATCGTCATGCTCTGCGCCGCATCCGAGTACCCCGATCCCAAACTCTACCTTGGCTTCACGAACTGCCTCACCACCGATTACGCCGAGATACCCGCACGCTCCCTCATCGAAGACTGTGCCCTGGAACACGGTCTCGACTTTGGCGTGCTGAACGATTGCATGAGCAAGGAGAACGGTGCATATGGCATGGGCCTGCTGAGGGACAGCGTCCAGCATAGTAGCGATGTAGGCGTCACAACGAGTTGTACGGTCAGATTGGACAACAAGGTGCGATGCGTGACGGATGGTGGCAAGTTCAAGGACTGCGAGGGTGGAGATGAGCCTGAGGATCTCATTCGGGATATTGAGAGACTATACGACGAGGCACAGGGCTGGACATATTCTTAGACATACGATTTGGGCAATTTGGGCATTTGGTTCTGGCGTTTGGTTTGAGCGGCTCCTACACGCATCGTAGATTGATAGATATACCCAACACACCTCTTTCTTCCGTCACAACACACTCGGCAATGCGAACATCTTAAAGTCTTGATTTCATAATTTCAATACGCCTCCCATGCGCGGAAGACCTAACCAGTGCAGATGATAACTCCAATGCTAAACATGCACAAAATGCCTCCCACTTTCTCACTCTACTCTATTGGAACTCGCCGAACTCGCCGTCATCAAAGCCCAAGTCCTCGGCCGTCTGTTTCGGCGGCGTGAAGTTCGCAGCATCAAAGTTCTGCCTACTTCTCCTCCGCTCCTCCTTGACACTCTTCGCGCTGGGCGGCGGAGGCAGGAACCCAGGTCCTCCACCCCCACTTCCCGGCGGCGGCTTTATGCTGAACAGCGCGTCTTGCTCGCTCTTACGGTCGCCTTCGTCGTTCTTCTCGCCGCCCTCGTGTGATCTCGACCGCCTTCCCTTCAAGCCACCCAGATTTATCGATATTGTCTCGCCGGCCTTGAGACTGAAATCGCGTTTCGGTTCTTCGGCGACGGGCGTTTGTGCGGATTTGGAGTTGCGCGATGACGACGACGCTGCGGGGTTCTGTTCAAAGCCCAGTACGCGACGGGCGTCTTGCAGTGCAATGCTGAAATCAAAGGCTTCGCTGCGTTCCTCGAAACCCATGCCCAGTATCGCTTTCCTCCCCTCGCCTACGACGGTGATGGCGAAGAAGCGGCTGCTGTCCAATGCTTGTTCTACTGTTCTCTCGCTCGTGTAGGGTGCTGCGGCGAATAGATCTCCCGTCTTGGGGTCCTCTAGCAGGAGGGTGGTTGTAACCTTATCCTCTGCATCCTCGTTGCTTTGTTGCTCCTCATTGGACGGTATTGAGGTTTCGACGACGCGTAATCGGGCGGTGAAGATTTGGAGCTTGTTGTTGTCGGCTGTCCAGGTCGACGCCTGGTAGCCTTTGGTAGAGGTTGCGGGCGGGATTTGGTAGATGTGGACTTTGGGCGCGAGGTAGAGGATGCGTTGGATGGCGGTTGAAGGGAGGGGCTCGCCGGTTAGAGGATCGACGTTCATGATTGATGGACTATTGGGCTCTGCGGGGCCTTTGTGTTGTCTAGTTATGCTGTCTGGTAGGTGCGTAATGCTTTGCGACAGTGGTTGTGCTTTGGGCGTCCCCTGGATCTAGAAAGTTGGGGGAGCTATAATCTTAGCGGGGTAAGGCTTCCTTGAACTCTGCAAATCCCACGACTCTGGATCGCAAATGCCAATAACCTTCGAGGGCGCTCCGATTCAGGGTGGCTGTAATCTCAAACAGCGTTTGAAACGGGCGTGGTCGGAGGGATTGGAGGACATGATTGCCCTCGATTCTTCTCCAGTCGGTGATGCGTTGGCACTGCAGGGTCTCCGCGCTTTGGATGGAGAGACCCCGCCCATTCATATTCGTTGCGGGACATATGCAGCCCAGGTAAGGTGACCGCTTAGCGCTGCGGAACATGCGTTAGATCGCCTTAGTTTCCTCCATCTTTTGGGATGTGACGATACGCGATGCTTGTGCGGTCTGTAGCAGGCTTAGGTATATCCGTCGTCACGCGCTCGGTTCAGAGTAAGGCGACGAATCATCTCAATGGAAGTCTATTTTATTGTCATGAGATACGCATGGTTGGTCTATTTTTGAGGTCAATAACAAATCTACTCTCGCCCGCCGTCCAAAATTATCGTGTACAAGCCAAGTATATACAGGAAGGAAATGAGAGTCAAAAGCCGCGCCTAGATGTAGGTGTAGCAGAAAGGTCCACCCATGGTGCTCATCGCATCACCAACAGTGATGTTTCCGGGGTAGGCGTGTTCGAGGGTCATAATGTCGGTGAGCTTGGTCGCAGGAGCGGTGGGGTCACCGAGGGCGATGGTTCCGTAGATGGCGTTAGTCCTTTCCGCGGGGTTTACGTTCTGCCATGACCACCACACACGGTCGATCTGGGCGTGATGGAAGTAGAAGTATGGATCACCTGTTCATTGTTAGTCCAGAATACTCGTGAACGGGAGTACGGAATACATACCAGGGGAGGTGAAGAAATCAGAACCGGGGTCTCCGCCCACGGTGAAGTGACCAGCAGTGTGCACACCCATGAAGTTGTTGGAAAACGCGGATTCGCCACCTTGCATGTCGTACCAAAAGGTCTTCATGTCAGGGCTGTTCAGCAGTTTGACAACCATCTCATCGTTGGTCCATTGGCTGGAGGACCAAGAAGAGATGTCACGCTTCAGGCAGCGGGGGTTGTATCCGACACCGGCATTCCAAGGGGTGGAGGAGTTATAAGTGATTGGGTTCTCAGGCGTGCAGAGTGCGTCGGTGAAGACGGGACCAAGGTTGACAGACCAATCCTTGAATGGACCAGACGTCACGCAACCTCCGCCAGTGCCCTTGGGAATCTTGATGAGAGGCGACTCGTTGGTCGGGATACCGTAGAACGTCTGGTTGCTGCAGCCTGCATCACCGTTACCGCCCATTGAGGTATCCGAGCCGTCTAGGACAGGGCTCTTCGCTGGGTCGTCAGCCCATCGTGGCCAGTTGTAGTATGGCTGGTAGCCCTTGTAACCGCACTCGTCACGGATAGTTTTCTCGTAGGCATAGGTAAAGTAGCGGTGCCATGGAAGGAAGTTGCCAGTGTTGTGGATGGCGAATGTTTGCTTGATGTGAGTAGCGACAAAGTCATCGTATCGGTTCCGGCAACCCGGGCACTCGGACTCGGGTGTCTTAGGGGGTAGCTTGGAGATGCACTGAACAGCCTTGACGTAGTCTTTCTTCTCCGATTTAGTAAAAGTCACCCTGGGTATGTAAGCTAGCAATAGAAAATTGAACTACAACGGACTTACCATTCCTTGCGAACAATGATGTTCGTGGGGTTGCACTTCTTGAATTGGTCAGGCTTCTGCGTAGCCTGGAAGATCTGCTGATTGATGGCAGCAATACCCGCGTACACATCAGCTTGCAGGATCTTTGGTCCGGGGAGGTTTGGAGAGACATTCTGTCTCTTGTCGAATGAGACAGCGGGAGAGGCCTCTTCCAAAGATGGAATGGCACTGGCTAGTGCTGCAGGTGCAAGCCAGAAGAGTGCAGCGGTACGCATGATGGCGTTTCGAACCGGTTAAAAATGGATGGTCGACTGTCTTGAGGGGCTTGAAGGATGAAGACGATGGAATGACTGAAACGGTCGAAGACGTTGGATAAGGTTCCGGGTGAGCGGCTTCCTGAGCTAGCGACTACTGTATTAATATTAGGAGATGGGGGAGGCGTAGTCAAAATGTGGCGATGCCCTGGCTAAAGTTTAGAGGCCGCATGCGTGTTCAAATACTCGCAGGAGGTACCTTACCACTCGTCCCATCTAGTCTAATAACAGTCCAACATAACTGTGCCGTAGCAGATCGTGCTGTCTACAGACCCATCGACTCGGTTTGTTGATCCCGGGTAGCCATTGAGTCAGTTGGGTGGCCCTTGGGCTTATGCCATACTGAAGTTTTATTCGCCCGGTATCCGGCAAGCGTTTGAAAGGGTTGGACAACCTCCTTTGTGCACGATCTATTACCGAATAGGCATCTGGAAAATGCCGAGGTCGCCTCGAAGGATCCGATGAGGCGTTTCCTAAACTCCGCTACACGTGGGTTCGCATGAGTCTCGCCCCTAAATGTGAGCGGAAAGAAGATGTACGACCGGAATTGACACCTGTAACTGAATGCAAGATGCGTTAGCGGCTCAATTTGATTGGATGCTGGATCATTGGAGTCCTCGGTTACGGGTTTATGAAGGCAGTAGAAGGATGCTGTAGGCGGCCTGGTGTAAGCGGCTGAACGAGGAGCATCTCGAGCCGTGTGGGCCGGTGAATTCATCAAAGATGGCTGTAGCTTTCCACAGAGGGAAGCGCACCGGCACGCAGGCAGGTCCCGACAAGAGTGCCGACTGGATGTATCGACATCTTGTTGCTTTTCTTGAAGGGTTTTGCTTCTCGATCCGATGAAAGTGTTTTATCGCGGAAGAGAGCGAACACATCGCAGCGCGATCTTAGCAAGATCTTGATGCTTGACCATAGCCAAGTGCCACTTTATTTTACCCGGTCGCATCGTGCGAAGCCCGCTGTCCGGGTGCGGAACTCACGGGGAAAGCCCTAGGGTCATGGCGGATAACTGCTGTTTTTTGCTTATGGTCCGATGGAAAGCGCCAGATCGACCAGTCAATGGCTAGTATAGAAGCTCCGATCATCGCTCGTGCTTAGGCAGAACGCATTAAGATGGCTAATAAAAGTCTTGCTCGGAGACCCTGTCGATTTTGAGGAGTCTGGAGTTCTGGTGCTCCAGCTCTGAACGGGAGGGGAATAAGGTCCACGGGCCGCGAGAACATGCTATGGCCGGATAATTCCAGGGCAAGCCGCGGAGGCGGCAGCGGCAGCGGCAGCGTGAACGTCTAGCGCCCGGCCGACCACCAATCTGTTTACTCATCTCACACGTTACCACCTACATCGCCTGCGGCAGGTCCGGACTTCGCTTACTCGACCTTGCTCGCGTGCCGCGATTTTCGCACTTTCATCACCAATAGCTTTGGCATGCGAACAGCAAGCAGTACGCATTAACACGAGAATATCACACACCATTGTCCGACGTACTCAAACTGCGTCCCATTCGTGGCCAATGGGCAGAAGACAGCAATCACGGTCAGTCGTACAGGAACGTTGGGCAATATGGAAGGAACGAGTCTGAGACTTGCCGATGACTAGGATGTGTTCGTTTACACAACGTGCAGCAGTCTCCATCTCCGTGCGTAAAACGACAATCGTCTTGACTAAAACCCATGACCAGGACGCCTGACAACTATACCGAAGAGGAAAGTCGCTACGAACTTCAATAATCCTTCAGTAAAACATCGCGTTCTCGTTCAGCCCGCGTTACTTCGATGCGCAGTAGGTGTACCTGCATAGCCTCCAACTCAGGCTGTCCTCCGAGCAATATCTGTCAAAGGGCGGGCTTCGAAGTCCGTCTTCCCATAGAAGCATTGATCATCCCGAGTCTATGTTTTCCTTGTCAACGATCGTGGCTTTAACCATGAATGACTGAGTGGACGGTACGGACCGCCCGCGACGTTGAGTGGTGGACAGGAAGACTGTCGTCAAAACGTTCCGCGCAGAAGGCTTTTGTATAAGAAACCCTTCGCGCATGCTACCACATTTATCTTGAAGCCGAAGACGTAGCAGTTGCGCGGCATATCGAAGGATGAAGGATTAAACTTCGTACTCACAGAGCCGCTGGTCGCTACGAGAGTGGTCAGTTTGCCATGAGAAACGCCATTCCGGCTATTGGCAAGCTGCACAATCCTGCCGAGCCGCCATGTCGACATTGAAGTGGCGGTCCATGCATGTACGACGAGCTGTTACTGGCCTAAACCAGGACTGTTTGAGATGTATGTTCGCTTGTGTGCGGTTCGGGTTTACACAATGTGCATGTGCCTAAGTGCTACTCTGGAGAAGCCCGCAGGAAGCGCTCCTGAGCAACACTCTAATAGTCTGGGGACCTACTTCCAAGACTTACGGTCTTGCCATCATTTTCAATCCGCGCAACCATCGACATGGAGTATCACGCTCTTGTTGCAAGACAGACTGAGGGCTGGCCCGTGATGCCAGCTCGATCACCAGAGTACATGGCCGAGAATCAAGCTGGACGCTTGATGGCGGTGGAAGGTTCGTTGTTCGCACTGTCGACGAGCGCTATACTCTTGCGATTCTATGTGCGGCTCTTCATGCTAAAGACATTTGGCTGGGATGGTATGTATGATCCATCTGCATTTGTATCAAACAGAACTGACTGAAACAGATGCTATGATGGCGATTGCATTGGTGAGTCGCCATACTCATGCATGAACTTGCTCGAAAGGAGCTGTTTGCTAATCGTCACTCCATAGGCTCTAAGCTCCACCACCCTGGGCTTATTCCTGAAGGTCATTGACCTGGGACTTGGACTGCATGCCGAAGCCTTTCCACTCGAGAACGTATTCCCCTTCTTCAAAGTCATGTACTTCTACTCGATCTTCATTATCGCTGCATACAGCTTCATCAAGCTTTCAATCGGATTCTTCTTGTTACGGCTCGCGGACCGAACAAAGTGGCGTCCATTTCTCATTGCCATGTTGAGTAAGTCTGAATGAGCTATATGATAAAGAGATAAGCAGCTAACATGCGATCAGTCTTCATTGGTGTGTTCACCATTGGTTCGACATTCGCCATCATCTTCCAGTGCATTCCGGTACAAGCGGGATGGGACTACAACATGCGTCCACCCACGGGGTAAGCTCTCCACTCATCTCGGATATTTCTTATGGACGATACTAACATGTCTTCAGAACTGCGAAATGCTACGATGCTGGCATCTTCAAAAACGTCGGCGTCTTCAACTCTTCAGTCAACATCGCCACTGATCTGCTCTTCGCCCTCATCCCCATCCCGATGGTGTGGAAGCTACAAGTTACGATCCAAACGCGCATAGGTCTGGCAGTCATCTTAAGCTTGGGTCTCTTCGCCTCTGCAGTAGCCATATACAAGACGCCGATGCAGTACAACTTCTTCAAGATAACTGACTGGTCCGGCGATGGAGCATGGTACTACATCTGGCAACAGTACGCATTCCTTTCCTACCCATATTCCACTTCGACTAACACTCTTACAGAGTCGAGATGCACGTAGGCATCATCGCCGCCTGCCTCCCAACCATGAAACCCCTCTTCGCGAACTTCTTCGGCCAGATGCGTTCTCTCGCCACTAAGGGTCGCACCACTGGCAACAGCACACCTTTCCGCTCGAACGGGTACATGAGGCATAATGACATGCGTCCGGGTGACTCTTTTGCTATGCGAAACATGTCAGCAGGCGCAAGGGATCCGTACTCCGAGGATACCGTGCTGGGCAAGGATACGTACACTGTCGAGGCTTCACGAGGAAGAGCCTTGAGTAGGCCCAAGAGTCTCGCGGGTGAGAGCGACGATAGTATCTTGGAGCATGAGGTCAATACCGGAGAGAGGCGCAGTGTGCTCCCTAGAGGTATGACTATCGTGAGGACTACTGAGGTCAACGTTTCAAGATAGTGTGGATATGTGAGTTGTACGTACGTAGTTGAGGTCGTCGTTGCTACACGGCGTTATGAGAGATACCCTAGTAAAAGCACTGACGGTCGCGCAATGTTTGTATGAGCATGTAATAACGGTTATTTGGTATGCAGCACATCTGCTTGTATAAGCACCTTCATAAGATTCTAGTCTATCGTGTAATCATGTCTATGGTCTTTCTATGTCGTCCAACCTTTTCGTCTATGATAATCCTGGGGGATCTGATCCATCTTCACATGGATTCGTCCGCGCCGCAGCCACTGCCGTGCGCACATCATCACGAGGATTCGGTGTCTACTGCGCCGCAGCATAGACGGTCCCAACCCCCAGACTGTTGGGTGGATCTCCGCGAAATTTCCGAGCTTCCACTTATTTCGCCGTCTGGACATCGATTCCAGCAGCGCCGCTCTTGTACGCCTCGTAGCCTTCCTTGGCGGCCGCTTGGACAGTGGTCTTTCCCTCTACGATGCTCTTGCACTTGGCCAGGATGTTGGACCAGTCCTCGAAGACTGTGAACGGTACGTCCTCCCGCGCGCAGTAGCTGATCAGGTCGTGACCCTTCTTGGCGAAGAGCAAGTCGGTCTCGCGTGCTGCAGAGAGATCGGATACACCGTCGCCGGCGTAGAACATTGTTGGTCGGAGGTTCTCAGGCAGGCTCGAGTACTTTCGCAGTTCAATGGACTTGTCGTGGCCGAAGCCAGACTCTGGGTGCTTGAACAAGATCTGCCATCCACCCTCCTCGTTGATGCTCTTGCCTTCCCGTGGGCCGACGTGGTTGCCCAGGACTTGCATCTTGCTTGCATCTGGTCCAACCAGCTTCTCCAAGAGCGCCTTAATGACTGGCTCCATGCCCGAGCTCAGCACTACGACTGGGATGTTGTTCTCCAGCGACCATTCGAAGAAGCCCTTGAATCCAGGGTCCAACTTGATGTTGTCGACAAGGTACTGGATACATTGGTCGTAGGGCTTTGTGACGCTGTCCATCATGTCGCGGAAGGAGTCGCGGAAGGAGATTTCGTTGTTGAGGCACGCGATGTTTCCCGCGCGGCGCTTGTCGCGGCCGTAGCCAATGTTGTCGGTCATGAAGTCATTGGAGTCTTGGAGGGTGATTGTGCCGTCGAAGTCGGTGAAGAAGATGAACTACGCTTGTTAGTTGAGATGTACCAATCACGTGGAAGGAGTTATACCTTGGGGTCACTCTTCATGGCAGGCAATTGTGCCAGATCGATCTGTGCTGAACCCATGTTGGAGTACTAAACGAGCGACTATGGTGCTGGTTTACGGTGGATGTGTGAATGTAGGAGTGAGAAACACCCCGCCAGATATCAACACCATGTAAAAGATTAGGCCAGGGGCGCTAGGAAACCCTTAATCGGAATGCCGGCAGTCTGCAAATAAGGGACGGGTTGCTAGAGCTGAGAGGGCCAGTCACCGTCATGCCGCAACCCCACGCGCCTTGGCACGTCAGCGCTCGCTGCGACGCCGCCCGCCCGCTTCGGGGGTCCGCATTTTGGCGCATTTTCGTCATTCGTCATCCAGCTCAGGCGCTCTCCATGTGAGGACAGAGACAAGAATGAGGCCACTGCTTCAGCATGCTTCACGCTCGCTTATCGCCAGTACGGTAGCTCCTTCTGCGCGTTCTTTCAGTAATGTCACTCGCAGCGCGTCGTCGGTATGCTGGAGTTATAGGTATCGCACAGCTTCTGGTGCGTCGAGGTGGGATGGAAAGACACAATTGAGCGCCAACGTATCCGCAAATCGGTCGCGGCGTACCTTTGCAAGCTCTACAAGATGGATGGAAGAAGGGAAACCGCCCAAGTCGTCGGATCCTATCGCAATGCCACCGCCGGCAGACGACGCGAATCCCATACAGCAACCTCCAACCAGGTTATCAGCATCCACACCATCGCCAGAGGATCAAGAGCGGTTAGAGCGAAGACTCAATGCTCTACTAGAGGATCAGAAAGCTATCAAGAGAGCAGCTGAGACTTCGGTGGCTGCCTTGACAGAAACACCCGTCCCTGAGGTCAAAGAACCCCCTCCAGAGGAGCCGGAACCACCCAAAAAGGACGAGTCCTTGGACAACATTGCTCGCGTGCCGGATGAACATCTGCCGTCGCACCAAGAGAAGCAGAGATGGAGTCTTTCCAAGCGCTTCTCCGAGGCCATGGATGAGCTGCTGCCGAAGCTTGCTGTGGTCACGCAAAAGGTCAACACATACACTGGCACAGACTACTCTGGGGTAGAGGCACTCAGGAGGGAGATCAAAGAGCAAGGTACATACAAAACTCGCCTACTATGGCGATGCGATAGCTAACCCCACACAGAGAAACTCGTCAAAGCCCGCCGCTCAGCCATTGATTCCGCCAAACAAGCCCTCGATACCGCCCTCGCCCATCAAGCTACCTCGCAGAAAGAAGTCGTCGCTCTCCTCGAACGCAAGCATTCTTGGTCAAACGGCGATCTCGAACGCTACATGGCTCTCATCCGCTCCGAACACATCAACGATCAAGCCGTTCGTGAAGCCAAAGACGCCGTCGCAAACGCCGAGAACGCCTTGGAGGACGCGCGGGCACAGCTTGAGAAGAGGGAACGTGCACAATACCATGAAGAGCAAATATGGAGTGATACTATCCGAAGGAACAGTACATGGGTCACGTTTGGCCTCATGGGTGTCAACATCTTCCTGTTATTATTGAGTCTGGCCATCTTGGAGCCCTGGCGGAGGAGGAGGATGGTCAGGGAGATCAAGAATACGTTGGAGGCACACCAAAAGCTTGCTATGGATGCCGCTACACCATCAGTAGGTGCTGCAGCAGTTGCACCCGCATCAACCTCTCGAGGTCTTACGGCGATTGAAGAGGAGATCGACCGGGTCGTTGATCATACCGACACATCTGCAAAAGCCGCGGCGCCTGTAGTATCTGAGGTCATTGAGGAGTCTCCAACAGCTGGTACAAACATTGCATCGCCAGTCGAAGCGGGCCTCATACCAGAGGTCATGCTTGAAGCAGCTGTTGATCCAGTGCCAGCTCCCGTCGTTGCGGAAGCCGAAACCATCACACCAGAAGAAGAGGCTCTAACACCCGAGGAACGCATAGCTGTCGCTGAAGAAAGCGCACCATCTCACGCCGCTCCTCGCTCCAAGCTGGAAAGCTTGCAGCAAAAGGCGAGATTCATAGCACACGACATTGTGAGCGATCGCGTTATTTCGATGCGACGAATTGACTACACCAGCGCCATTCTTCAAGGTGCTGCGGCGGGAGCTGTTATCACGGCGAGTATAATCGCTATGCTGAGACCGAACTAAGGGTCTGCGTTTTGTACGAATAGACAGATGTATCAAGAATGTATATAATTCAGCTTGTAAGGTATTGCTACCTGCTTAATCGCTTTATAGCCGTATTGTTCCATCCTTTCTGTCGAGTTCCTTTCGAAGATGTACCCATTGTTCCAAGAACTTGCTAGTGAAATGGAGAGCGGTGTATGCCTGTGAGCTCCATTCTCAGGCTACAGAGTTACCTACTCCGGTTATAACATCGAGAGGAGAGATCGTTCTTTTGCTGAGCCCGAGCTTGCCTGTTCAGTTACGTATAGAGTATACGTGGGCTGAGCCGAGACGCCTTCTACCAGAGGGATACGGCCGACGATAGTAAGTATACGTATCGCTCGCACTGCAGCTGTTGGAAGCCGTGTGTATTACCAAGTATGCGGCGCGATGTCGCATCTTCCCTCCTGAGCCCAGTACGCTTTCGCTAGGAGGGTCATAGGTGGTTATGCCCAGTACGGAGGCACAGACAAGGTGCGTCGCCGAGCATTCAGGGTCGTGCAATGACGCTACCCGCTATCCAGTAGGCTCGGCATAGCAAATGAGAGAAGCATGACGAAGACGCGACTTGCGCCTACTCGCTCATGTCCTCACTCTCATCCCCACCATCGATTCTAGCAAGCACTTCGCTCTCACGCTGTCTCTCTTTATCCGCCGCCTTCTCTACACTTTGTAGCATCGGCAGCTCTCCAGTACCATCCCAAGCTCTTGCTCTCTTGATGATATGTTGTGACTGCCGGATAACCTCCTCTTCCGCTTTCTTGATCGTACCGCTAACTCTTACGACTCTTATTACGACAGGTGTATCGAGGGGTTTGGGAAGGTGCGTAATGTATGTGAGGGCTGCCCAGACCATTTCGTAGTGGTCTCGTGGGCATCGTATTATGGCTGTGCTGGTCGAGGGAGAGTAGTAGTTGACTGTGCTATCCGTCAGTAAGGCGTTTGTGAGGCTCAGAGGAGTACGCACCTTTCAGACCCGAAGACACCATACCCGAACCATAGTCGCCAAATAGGTCTTCAACTCCATCTCGTATCATGCGTACAATGGCGCCCTGTTTGAGAGCATCGGGCGTCGGCGAGTGGATCTGGATGGCATCTGGGAGTTGCGTCTTGCTCTTGGCGGGAGGCTCTGGGTATAGGAAGTTGACGACCAAGTAACGATTCTTGACGCGAACCATATTCACTCGAACTGTGTCGGTGTCTCTGTGTAACCGTGGAGTGTGCGCGCGCCGAGCAATGTGGGGTGTCGAGGTGCAGCGCAAACGGAATCACCCAAATAAAATGTGACAGGCAGATCCTTGACGCGACGCGATCGCAACCACCACAATTGAAAGGAGGGCAGTCCTCGCAATTGGTACTCGCGACAATTCTCTCGCACGCGCAAGCACCCGTCAAAGCAACTAAAATCACAAGCAAGGCCCATCGATCCATTCATCCACCGCAAGTGCGATCCACGCATTAGCGCATCAGGCGTGAACCGGCTTGGCTATGACGCACATGGCTAGAGGCAGCATCCCCAGCTTTAGTGGCTCTCCTTCCGCAGCTGCACCATCACAGCCAGCGGCTACTATCACCACTCAAGACCCACTCCATCACAACGACCTAGTCTCTCGAGGCCTCATCGCCCTTTCGAAAGCCCCTTCCAACCCCAAGTCGCGCAAACGAGCGAGAGCACCCCCAGCCAAGCGCAGAAGCCCTGGTCTTCCTCCGCCCGCCGTCAACATGGCGTCTTCGTCTTCTTCTACGCCGCTACTCTAGTACGACATACTTATTACCCAATGTATATCCTGAGTAACGTGACTGACAACTTCACAGCGCGTGCATCGCCCACAACACCACCGTCCTCACCGAACACACCGCCTCGGCCTCCTCAAACGCCTCCTCGCTCGTCTCCCTCGTCCTCCCACGCATCGCCCACGACAAATCCGCCCACAAGACTATCGATCAATCCAAGTTCTTCATCCACTGCCTCGTCAAATCGCCCTCGGACTTCCCCAACAACCAATCGACAGCTGGCGGCCTGACTTTCCTTGTCATTGCTGAGCGCGACCTCGGCCAGCGCATACCTTTTGGCTTCCTGACAAACCTCGAGAAGAAGTTCTTTGCCGAGTTTGAGCCTGGAAGCACGAATTTCCACGACTTGCCGCCGTATGGATGTGCGAGTTTCAATGGCGCGTTGAAGAGGATGATGGTCGAGCAGGGTGGCACGCAGGCCGGTCAGCAGGATGCGCTAAGAACTGCTCAGCGCGAGATCGAAGGCGTCCGAGAGATCATGACGGAGAACATTGAGCGCGTGCTGGAGAGGGGCGAGCACATGAGTGTGTTGGTTGACAAGACGGGCAGATTGGGCGAGAACGCGCGCGACTTTAGGGTCCGGTCGAGGACGCTTAAGAGGCGGATGTGGTGGAAGAACGTCAAGCTGATGGTGCTGCTGACGCTTGTCGTCATCTTTTTGATCTATCTCTTTGTTGGCTTCGGCTGTGGTCTTCCTGGTAAGTTCACTGCGGATGGCATTTCATGAAGGTGCTCGTTATCAGTGTGTACCTGCCTGCCTTGCGTAGACGGTGACACCCTGAAAGCGCACACTTTTGTAGCGCGCGATGTCTCGAACAAAACGCTAACGAATAACAGGTTGGGGACGATGTCTCGGTCACTAAAGTCACGCCGACAAAGGCACGAAACAACGGTCTTCAGATATGCGACAGGACCATCACGAAGAGCATACAACGAGTTCAGAAGTTCTGATGCGATTACGCAAAGCCTGACGACTTTGCGCGTGGAGAATTTGTTTATTGTATACACCAAGGGCGAGGCGTCTGGCGTCTTCCCTATTACCAGTAGTAATTACTACCTCCATTCCCATTCCCATTCAATATTGTGCTCAATTCCACCGACTCCGTACCATGCAGATCCATTTCCATAATGCCCCTAGTTGGCTTTCCGATGATGCACCCCGATACCGATCCAAGTCCCAACCTCGATGAGGGACCCACCCAACGCCAGAAGAGATCGAAGTAAAAATGAAATAAAGTTCCCCCTCTTAACCCATAACAGAACAATAACACCGAGACATGCTGCAGAAAAAATGAAATAGCTTCCCCCCATACTGATGTTGAAAATTTTACATCATACATGTGCCCTTTACCCATATCCAGAACTCCGGTGTAAATGCTTGAGTATCTATCTACAAGATCTGTGGACGACGCTCGTCTATAAGATGGTATAAACCCGAAAGGAAAGTAGGATGAAGCAGAACTTTTTGTTGCTTTGTTCGTTTCCGTGAAAACCGTCAAACGCCTGCCATGAAATCGTGCGCTACATGGTCTGACTACGGAGCCATGACCATGGCGAGAAGCGCCATACGCGTGTACAGGCCATATCTCATCTACGAGCATGTTAGCTGGAATGCTCGGCTGGTGCGCGGTGAGACTTACCTGTCTGAAGTAGGCCGCCCTGGGGTCAAAGTCCACCTCCTCATTAATCTCGTTGTTCCTGGGCAGCGGGTGCATGACAATCATGTTCGCCTTGGCTCCCTTCAGCAGCTTATTGTCAATGACAAACGCATCCTTCACAGCCTCGTAGGTGGCGACATCCGGGAAGCGCTCCTTCTGCACACGAGTGCAGTACATGACGTCCGAAGAAGCGACGATGTCATCGGTCAGCTCAGTGGTGACCTTGTTCAGCTGACCACGGGTCTTGAGAGCGTCGGTGACACCCGAAGGCATGGGGAGAGAAGCGGGAGAAACGAGGTTGATGGTGACATCGTAGTGGGAGAGGAGTTCGCAAAGAGAGTGAACTGTTCGGCCGTACTTAAGGTCACCGACGAAGGTGATGTTCAGACCGTTCACCGTACCGAGTTCCTCTCGGATAGTGAAGATGTCGAGAAGAGCCTGAGTCGGGTGCTCGCGGCTGCCGTTACCAGCGTTGATGATCGGCACATCTGAGAACTTGGTAGCGATGTTGATCGACTCCTCAGATGGGTGGCGCAGAACAATGGCATCGCCGTAGCAGCCTAGAGTGCGGATCGTGTCGGCGATGGACTCGCCCTTCTGAGTAGACGACACCAACTCGTTGATGACAACCACCTCACCACCGAGACGCTTCATGGCAGCATCGAAAGAAGCAGAGGTTCTAGTCGATGGCTCACAGAACAGGGTGCAAAGGACACGACCCTTGAGGATGTCAAGGCAGCCCTGACGCTGAGTACCCAGACGCATCTCCTGAGCGATAGTGAACAGCAGATGAAGGTCTGCACGTGAGAACTGCTTGACAGAGGTGATGTGCTCCCTCTTGAAGGGCGATCTTGCCAGAAGCTGCTGAAGAGACAGCGAGCCGCTGAGCTTGGACATGGGCCCAGACGACGAGTCGTGCGCTCCAGGGGCTGCGGCAAACTCCTGGAAGTCCACCTTGCTGATCTCCATGTCGTAGTGACGAGCAATAGCCTCAATCAACAACTTCGCGTTCTTGACGTTCGTGACCAGAGGAGTCTGGTAGTCCACAGCCATGCGACGGGTTTGGTATCCTCTGCTCATGTAGTTGGCGGGTCGACGGAAGCGGTTGCTTGATGGCAGGTTGATGTACAAGTCGATGAGGTTGTTGGACAAATGCTGAGTGAGCGAGTACTCCTGCTTCTGCTCGTCGTGTTCGCCACTGGACAACACCTCCAAGAACTTGACTGGAATGCCGTGCTCTTGGATGTAGTCGGCAGTTCCAGCAGTAGCGAAGAGGTTGTAGCCCATCTTGTGCAGACGCTCAATCGAAGGCAACATCTCCAGCTTGTCCTTGAATGAACCAATGGACAGCAGGATGTTCTTCTTCGGCAGCCTGAAGCCGGTGGCGATGAGACCCTTAATGTAAGCCTCGTACTTGGTGCGACCGAAGCAAGCAACTTCACCAGTAGAGGCCATCTCTACACCGAGGACAGGATCGGCTCCAGAAAGACGAGAGAAGGAGAACTGAGGAACCTTGACACCGACGTAGTCCGCGGGAATGTTGGTGGGAGGGTACTCTGTAACATGCAAGCCTGACATGGCCTTGGTAGCCATCTCGATCAGGTCGACACCCATGACCTTGGAGACGAATGGGAAAGATCGGGAAGCGCGGACATTGCACTCAATGACCTTGATCTCGTTGTCCTTGGCGATGAACTGGATGTTGTAGGGTCCAGTGATATTTAACGCCTGGCCAATCTTACGCTAGAAGTCTGTTAGTAGATGTCTCGTATAGGGGTTAAGATTGAAAACTTACAGTAGCATCTTCGATTTGGCGTATGGTCTCTGGGTCCAAGTCTTGCGGTGGTAGAATCAGCGTAGCGTCACCAGAGTGGACACCAGCGTTCTCGACGTGCTCAGAGATGAAGTGGCCAATCATGGTTCCGTTGCGAGCGACTGCATCCATCTCAATCTCCTTCGCGTTCTCAATGTATTTAGTGATAACGACTGGGTGCTCCTTGGAAACATCCGCGGCTTGGTTGAGATAGTTGGCCAGGTCGTGCTTCGAGTAGACAGTGTTCATGGCAGCTCCAGAAAGGACGTATGAGGGACGAACCAAGACAGGGTAGGATACCCGGTCACAGAACTCCATCGCCTCGTCAATGCTGGTAAGCTCCTTCCAGGCGGGCTGGTCGACGTTGATGCGGTCCAACATACGAGAGAACTTGTATCTGTTCTCCGCGTTGTCGATCATCTCTGGAGAGGTACCGAGGATCTTAACGTTCATGCGGTGCAGCGGAAGAGCGATGTTGTTGGATGTTTGACCTCCCATAGAGACAATAACGCCGCTGGAGTTCTCCATGGTATAGATGTCCATCACGGTCTCCACGCTGATGTTCTCGAAGTAAAGGCGGTCTGCTTCATCGTAGTCTGTGCTCACAGTCTCCGGGTTCTAGTAGATCTGTTAGTTTTCGAACCTAGCCTGGAGATATACGATGATGTTTGGGAAGACACAGAATTTATGCTGCGATAGCCAGGAGATATTCAGTGACGGCAAGGAAGAAGCAGGACATTTCTCGCCATAGCCTGGAGGTGTTCACAGATCTAAGTGGTTTGCGATCGAACCACGAAACTGTTGCGAAGGCACCAGGCTACCTTGCCGTATGTCCGGTACAGCTGGTTGAGTGGACAAAGATGTAGGGTAGTAGGGCAGATGAGAGTATGATAGCAAAGGTCAGTACTTACGTAGTTCAACATGACGGTCTTGAAGCCTTGTTCTCTAAGAGTGCGGATAGCACGAACGGAGCACCAGTCAAATTCGACCGAAGATCCGATACGGTACACACCAGAACCGAGCACCATGACACCCTTGTCGTTGAAGCTGATGTCATGCTCCTTGGCGTTGTACGTCAGGTAGAGATAGTTGGTCACAGCGGGGAACTCAGCGGCGACTGTATCGATCTGCTTGACGACGGGGAAGATACCAGCATCAACGCGCACGCGACGCACGGCAAGCTCGTTGGAAGCCCAGAACTTGGCAAGTTGGCGATCGGAGAAACCCAACTGCTTGGCTTTCTTCAGCAAAGGCATGGTGATGCTGACAGTGTTATAGCTCGCCATAGACTTCTCAAAGTCACTAAGGGACTTGAGGCGGCTAAGGAACCACTTGTCAATCTGAGTCATTTCCCAGATCTTGTCAACGCTGTAGCCGGCCTTCATGGCGTTGGCGATAGCGAACAGGCGCTGGTCTGAAGGTGTTTGCAGTTCCTGGTCGATCTCCATCAGGGCCGGGGTCTCGTTGAAACCAAGGTTGCTGGGGTCGATCTCGCGAATGGCCTTCTGAATGGCTTCTTCGAACGTTCGACCGATACTCATAACCTCGCCAACACTCTTCATGGAAGAACCAAGGAGGGTGGATACACGAGTGAACTTCTTCAAGTCCCAACGAGGGATCTTTACAACGACGTAGTCGAGCGATGGCTCGAAGCAAGCGCAGGTGGACCGTGTGACTGAGTTCGAGATCTCGTTGAGAGGGATGTTCAAACCGAGCTTGGCGGCGACGAAAGCAAGGGGATATCCGGTCGCCTTGGAAGCAAGAGCGGAAGAACGCGACAGACGAGCGTTCACCTCGATGATGCAGTACTCCTTCGAGAAGGGGTTCAGCGCGTACTGAATGTTGCATTCACCGACAACACCGAGATGGCGGATGACGTTCACAGCGGTCGTTCGGAGCATGTTGTAGTCAGTGTCGGACAGGGTTTGCGAAGGCGCAACGACGATGGAATCTCCCGTGTGGATACCAAGAGGGTCGAAGTTCTCCATGTTACAGACTGTGATACAGTTGTCTCTGCAGTCTCGGACGACTTCGTATTCGATCTCCTTCCAGCCCTTCATGCTGCGCTCAATGAGGATCTGGGGGCTGGCAGCAAAAGCCTTGTTGCAGAGGTCGAGCAGCTCTGGTTCATTGTTGGCGAAACCACTTCCGAGCCCACCAAGAGCGTAGGCAGCTCGGACAATGACAGGGAAGCCAATGTCCTTGACAACGCGCATAGCCTCCTCCACGTTGTTGGCAGATGCAGACTTGGCGCACTTCTCGCCAATCGACTCCATGCTGCGAGCAAAGAGCTCCCGGTCCTCTGTGGTGATGATAGTGTCAATGGGAGTACCGAGAACTTTGACGCCAAGGCCTTCGAATTCATCCTTGAGTTGGATACCAACCTGGAGGGCGGTCTGACCACCGAAGGTCACGTATATACCATCAGGTCGCTCCTTCTGGATGATCTTGCGGACGAAGTCTGCGTTGACCGGCAGGAAGTAAACTTTGTCGGCAAGGCCCTTGGAAGTTTGGATGGTAGCGATGTTGGGGTTGATCAGGATGGTGTAGATTCCCTCTTCTTTCAAAGCCTTGATCGCCTGACTGCCAGAGTAATCGAACTCTCCAGCCTGGCCAATGCTCAAACCTCCACTGCCGAGAACGAGCACCTTCTTGACGTCGACCCTGGGTGTGAGCTTCTTGTTCTCCTCAAATGTGCCACCGGGGAATTCAACAGGCTTTGACAAGACTTCAGATGATGTCATGGCCTTCTGAATAGTGCTGATGAAGACATCGAAGAGGTACTCAGTGTCGCGGGGACCAGGGGTGTGCTCAGGGTGGAATTGCACACTGAAGTAGGGCCTGCGCTCGTGTCGGATGCCCTCGTTGCTACCATCGTTGGCGTTGACGAAGAGTTCCTCCCAGCCGTTGGGCAGTGTCTTGGAGTCTACGGCGTAACCGTGGTTTTGCGATGTGATGTGGCACTTGCCAGTAAGCAAGCTGGTGCAGGGGATGTTGGCACCGCGGTTACCGAACTTCATCTTGACTGTGTCGGCGCCAGCAGCTCGTGCGAGCAATTGGTGACCAAGACAGATACCGAAGATGGGTGTGCGGGCTTCGTCCATGGCAGTCTTGATATGCTTGACGGTGGACTCCATCATGGCTGGGTCACCGGGACCGTTGGAGATGAAAAGACCATCGTAGTCCTTGCCAGCAAGCTGAGGGAAGTCGTAGTCCCAGGGAACTTGCAAAACTTCGACTCCTCTCCGCACCAAACACCTGAGCTGGTTGTATTTGAGACCGACGTCAACGGTGACGACACGTACGGGGCGGCCGGAGGGATGCTTGAGGGCAGTGGCAGGGTCGGGCTTGTAAAGCTTGGGTTCCTTGATGGAGACTGTGCATGTGTTAGGGCGGATCTCTACGCGAGTTTGCTTATTGTATACCTTCAGCGACCAAGTTCTTCTGGTTGGGGTCGAGCCATTCGATTTGCTCGAAGCTGCTCCTCCAGTCCACCTCATCGTCAGCGAGAGTCTGGGTGTTGACCGCGCCGTTGGTGAGGGTGGTGGAAGAGGGTGATGGTCCGGTCCTCTGCATGAGGCGTCCCAACATGCTTCCCTCCTCTCGGATACGCTTGGTTAGCGCTCGTGTGTCGACGCCGGTAATGGCGGGCACGCCCTGCTCCTTGAGCCATGCGCCCAGCGAAGAGGTGGCCAAGTGATGCGAGTATTCCTCGCCAGCGTATGTAGCGACTACCAACCCCGCAATGTGAATCTCGTTAGACTCGAAGTGGGCTGGGATGCCCTCGAGAAGGCTGTCCATCTCTTCCCGCGAGGGCACACCATAGTTGCCTACTAAAGGGAATGTGATGACCAAGATCTGGCCGCGGTAGGAGGGGTCGGTGATGGACTCGGGGTAGCCCACCATGCCCGTCTGGAAGACAAGCTCTCCGGAAATGCTCTTGTCAGCACCGAAGCTGTTTCCGAAGCAGACATAGCCATCTTGAAGCTCGAGAGCCAAGTCGTGGCTTTGGTCGGGCTGTGGAGCCATAATTGAGGGTATAAGTGACAGCTCTAGGGCTATGGTACCCTTGAGAAGCGAGACTGCCAGGCAATTGTAGAGAAGAGAAGAAGTGAAGCCTCAGAAAAAAAAAGTTCGGAGCCTCACAGCAACGGAAAAAACGTGAGTAGCCTAGCTGCCGCTGCATGGCGGGGTTGATTGGTCTGCCCCCCACCTTAGCGAATGACGAGTTAGTCGGCCTTTCTGTGGCTCGCCGAACATTTTGACCAAAACTCTGGTAGTGAAGAAAATATTTTACGGTGATCTCTATCGGAGGTTGGTCTCTTCATCGTGCTGCTCAGAAGCGCTGAAATCGATATCCTGCCAAATCTTCGCCTGTGCCATGGATGGCCTTACAATGACGGAGTAAGCAGACTCCAAGGCAGCTCGAATGAGCGAATGTCACATGCAGTTGCATCGAGATCAGCGCGCATGCAAATCTTCAACAAAGATTTCGTGGGCAAGGACGCGCATGGCGGTGTGAAGACGAAGTGTATGTCGCCAAAGCTGCCAATCGCGCGTAGCGGGAACACCTTTAACGAGGTGGACTGGTAAATGATCTGCACAGATCCAACGGCTCGCTCATGCAAGATGCCGTCACCGTCTGTCGTGCCTGTACGCGCAAAGGCATCTGTGAGGAAGCGTGCTGCTATCGCAGACTCTGGTGTTGGTGTTTTCCAGTCCGACAGCGGCTAGATGACAAATACGATCTAGCAATTATCGAAAAGACATGCAGGGCCACAAGCCTCGTCCTAGACGCGAGCGGCAGGGTAGCTGTCAGGGTATTTATCGATCGAGATTGTCTAGATGCCTTTAGATCGCGGGATTCTTGACCGCATCAGACCGCATCGTGGGGGCTATGGGCGACGCATTCTGGATCAGATGAGATGAGGGCGTGATGGTGGGAGACTTGATCAGCTCGTCTCTGGTGTGGTGACAAAGGGCGAGGGCAGACTACCTGCATCAGGCATGTGGAGGAGGATCTGAGGTATTATATGTAGGCAGTCTGCACCCCAGAGTGCTAGCATACCCACTTCAGGGCAATCGTCGCGATGACGACTTTGAAAATGGCGCTTCGTGCCCCGGGCGAGTCTCACATGGCATTCTAGACATGCTTTTGGCGGCGCCCCGCGTTGCAGGGCCTGTCGGCATGTGGTCGACGGGCGCGTCTATTGGCTGCAGACGCGTCTGGGAGAGGGACGACGCGCGATAAGGATCGAGCCTTTCCCTTCTGCATCTTCTGTCGACGGCGACGAGGGCGCATGACGGGCTAGAGTTCGCAGGCGGTGAGGTCGGCGTGGCACGAAAGTAGGCAAGAGCCCTTTTCACGATCCTCCTGCTTGTGCTTCATTTCCCGTCGGTGATGAAACCTAGTACACTCCCCACCCAACTCGCACCCCGTCCCTCTTCCCTACCTACGCCGACGCTGACGAGGAATCCCGTTTCCTTTAGAGGCTCGAGGTAGTGACATGTTCGCCTCATTCTTCCCCCAAAAGTCACGCCGGCCCTCTGAGACGACGCCTTTGCTTGCGGCCATCAACCGCTACCGCCGCCGCCAGAATGGACAGGACTCGGAAGACGACGAGGACGAGCAGGATGCCCTAGCGCAGTATGAGGGCGAGGACGACGACGAAAACGAAGACCGCCAGCGGGATGGACCCTTGCTGCCCGTCTTTTCTTCTGAAGTATTGGGTAGGCGCACAAATATGCTTGCTTCTGCATCGCACTGACAAGACCCCAGATCGCATACCCATTTACAACACCACGCATGCGATCCGGATAATCCTCGTCCAGCGATGCGAAACGACGTTGTCATGGGACCAGCTGCGCTCCCCGCAGGTGTCGCAGTTCCTCGTCAAGCCCATCCAGCAGCAGATTCGCTCCGACCAGTTCTCGCGCGGTCTCCTGTACTGCCTGCTCGCCAACTGCCTACAGTTCAAGAAGGAGGGAGAGGAGAACCCCGGCAATGTGGGCGTCAGCAAGACGCGGGCGCTCATATGCGAGCTGCTGGCTATGCGCCTGCTCAAGGAGTTCTCCACGCGCGAGCTCATCGATGCCCTCTCCTACGACTTCGACCCGCTCCAGGGCATGATGGTGCAGGGACGCGGCAACAACACCCCCGGCGGCGCAAACTGGTCGCGACAGGCCTACCGATCTGCGCGCATCTCCACCCTAGAGATCGCCATTCGCGCTCAGGCCAAGAAGTTCCTCGCCCATCCTCTGGTAGTACGCCAGCTGGAAGCCATCTGGGCCGGCACCATCGTCTTCCACTCCGCAGCCGACAATCTACACCGGAAGCCAGACTCCCCTCAACAGCGTGGGTACAACACCCGCGATGATGCCTCCCCACGAACAGGCCCGTCCCGTCGCATGTCGCCCACCAAGCCCGCGCCTCCACTCCCTCCGCCCGCTGCGCTCCTCCGCCGTACAGTGACCCTCTACGATCCCCACGATGCCTCCCTCTTCAAGCTCTCCCGTCTTCGTGTTCCCCGCTACCGCAACCTGTTCTCGACGCTTTCCTTCGCCATTATGCTAGGTCTATTCTTGGCGGTGCTGGCTGAGAAGTCAGAGGACATCACAGCCCTCGAGGTTCTGTTCTGGTTCTGGAGTGCTGGATACATGCTTGACGAAGTGGTCGGTTTCTCCGAGCAAGGCTTCGGTCTATACATTATGAGTGTGTGGAATGCCTTTGACTTGGGTATCCTCCTCATGTTCATGGCCTACTACGTCCTACGCCTTTACGGAATTCTCATGCCCGATGTTAGTCGCCATAGTGTTGCTGCCATGGCATATGACGTACTCGGATCCACCGCTGTCCTACTCTTTCCTCGACTCTTCTCGGCACTGGATCATTACCGATACTTTTCGCAGCTGCTCATCGCCTTTAAGATGATGGCCATGGACTTGGTTGCGATTCTCGTCCTCATTGTGATAAGCTGCAGTGGTTTCTTCGTCGCATTTAGCCTGGCCTTCAAGAGAGATCTTGGCGCGTCAGACGCCGCATACGCCATTTTCCAGCTGGTCATGGGTTTCACACCCGCCGCTTGGGATCTCTGGGGTGAGGTCAACTTCCTCGGCAAGACTATGCTTGCTCTGTTCCTCTTCATTTGTCATTTTCTTATCGTCACCATCCTGATCACAGTCTTGACAAACTCTTTTATGGCAGTCGTTAAGAATGCCGACGAAGAGCATCAGTTCCTCTTTGCCGTCAACACCATCTCCATGGTCAAGTCGGATGCTCTCTTCTCCTACATCCCGCCTACCAACATCATTGGATGGCTATTGATCCCGCTCAAGTACACCATGTCCTTCAAGAAGTTCCTACGCATGAACCGGCTTGTCATCAAGCTGACCCATCTTCCTATTCTGTTCGTAATCTTCTTTTACGAGCGTGTTCTTCTGTCACATCTATCATACGGTCCAACTGATCTGGTTGAACAACGGGGTCGGGCTGAATCCAAAGCGCCTGTGCCTGCGTTCAGCATCCGAGGCCCTACTGAGCTGTTCAGTCCGCGCCTGCGCGAGCCATCCGTCACTACCTTCCAGAAGGACCAGGCACTCGAGGAGGTGTTCCGGCGACCTTTCCGCGACTCTAGCTTCCAACCGACTCCCCGCTACCCAACACCTAGGAGGAACTCGGGCAACGTCGTATCCGATTGGATGAGGAAAATGGGCGATGATGATGAGAACGAACCACCTCAGGACGACTCGCGGTCAGTTTTGGACCGACTTGAAGGGCCCAATAGGCCACATCTTCGGCGAACGAAGACCGCCGGCCAGCCAAGGCGCAGGCATCCACTCGCTACCAGGACGGTGGTTTCTGACCCTGATGACGCTGGGACTCCATTGACCCCAGCTATAGCAGAGGAAGAAGAACCAGATCTGAGTCTTGCTATGGTCATGGAAGAGGTGCCGCAGCAGACGGATGCTGATGGAGACGACGAGGATGACGACGCAAGTTCTGATCAGCAAGTTACTCCACGGATTGAGGCAAGCCAGAAAGACAGCAAGAGGCCTCAGACAGGATACCAATCTTCTGAAGACGAGTCCTTCCAAACGCCAATGGCTGTCTTGCCCAAGTCGCAAAGCCGTACACCCGCCATTGTGGCGTCGCCCTCTGATTCCAGCTTCAAATCGAAAACGCCTTTGTCACCTAGCAAGAGGCGATTCAAACCGGGACATGCCCGTAACACTTCCACAAGCACGATCCTCTTCAGCCCTGTCAAGGAGACTATGAACGTTTCCCGCGCTCCATCCCCCGAAAAGCGACCAAGGACAGGCGTTCGCAGTGGAACAGCCACTGGTACGGCCACTCCCGGACGTCTCGACGGTTCGAGTGGCACAGGGGCCAAAACTCCAAAGCGTACTAGTGTCCCACCTCTTGCGGCTCCTTCTCGTCCTCGTGCCATTATGCCACCACGCGGGATATCGTCCAACCTGCTGTCTAGAAGCCACGGAGCACGCGAGCCTTCGTTCAACGCTATTGCCCTGGATCTGGCGTCAGACCTTGGAGACAATAACCTCAATCCCAACTTTGGCAACCTCAACGGACTACCTGCATCATTCACCACGCAGTTCGAGATGGCTGCTAGAATGAAGGCACACGAGATGCAGAAGGGCAGCGACAACGACTCGGAGTCCAACCGCATGAGCAGGATTATGCTTGCGCGAATGACTACACTCGAGGAAGGTTTCCGCGACATGCTTCAGGAAGTCAAGGGACTCAAGCAAGGCGACAGTCAGATCGGCAGCCGCGGTACGCAATCGCCACCGAATGAGCTGGCTGCGAAGAAGAAGGGCAAAGCGAAGAAGAAGATGAGTATCCGACGAAGTGATGAAGAGCCAAGAATGGGCTCCAGTCTATAAAGAAGTAATGATGCCGCATGTGGCGCACTGCATATCTCGGTGTTTTGATTATTATCTCGCATGGCTTGCGTTTGGTACTTTGGGTCTGGCATAACTGTTTCGACGATACCCCATGGGTATTTTTCATGTCTGATCAGCGGCGTTTACATTCGGTTCAGCGAGCATTGTTCATGTCTTGCTTTTGTATCACTAGTTCTCGTTGTTTCTCGTCACAGTCTGGTCGTAATTTCTAGTTCAAATACAGTGGTATTGTAACATTATGGCTTGTATATCCTGCAGTAGCTTCCCTCACATCATATGTCACTCGCTCTCTCAGTGCACTCCAATATCACAAGAACGGGCCCGTTGAGTTTCCTCCTCCTGTCTTGTCAAGATGTCGCTGGATCTGGGACCGAGGCGCGAAGTCAGCGTGACCTCTACACGCGATTACGGAAGGAAGGTCACCTTGTAGTTCATGAGAATATGCCAGGCAGCCGCAATGGTAGAGATGATGATCATCGCGATGAGGGTGAGTAGCTCAAGGATTTCGCTTCGTGTCCAGGCTGTCGAAGACATGGTCATATAGGCTTACGGGAGTCGTGAATGGAGTATGATTAGTTATGATCGTATTGGCTGCTGTGGTGAGAAGCAAGATGTCTGTCTACCCAAATCCAAAGACATACGGGCATATATGTAGTTATTATGTACGCTGGTTTGAAACCGTTCCGGTGGCCACCCAACATATCGATGACTACCTGGATAACATATCGATGTTAAATTCTCTTAGGAGGCTGTGTCTTGGCTATACCTATTGCGAGTGTCGGAACAAGACGAGGGACACCGCTCAGTTAATCGCTAGACCAATTCGAGACGTCGGAAGGAAATTCTTGCTCTGATGCTAGGAATCTTTGTTACACAGGTCATGTAACGGGTTCTGTATGGTGATGACAGACAATGCGGCGCTAGTGCGGATGCGGATGTCGGAGTGAAAACTAGGCTGATTTGAGATGTCGGAAGCTCGAGCCAAGACAGCGACGTGTAGGTGGCTGCAGAACGCTGCGCATTTGCCTTCTTTTCCATGCGCACTTCGACGGGTGGCTTCTCGCTGGCCTGCTCTTAACGATGTCGCTCCTTCATATAACATGTTTGCATGTTCGCTCTTCAGATTGCGGTCTTCTTGTTCACTTGCACCGTCTCTTTCGCCTATGCATCACATCTAGCTAACGCTTCATCGGACGCCTCTATTCTCTCATCGAGTTTTCTGGGTGGCCAGCCTCGTCGATATGGATGAACCTGCATTCGACATCCACATGGAAGATGGCGATCCAGCTTCAGAAGATCAGAGGTATCTTCCCGACTTCGACAGATCATATGCAGTCTCTGAGTATGGTCAATACCCTGCTACGGAACTGCACTCGAACTATACTGAGCGGTTGCACGTATGTTACGATGGCCCTTCACTTGCCTCCAGCACGACCGTACCTGTTCATCTAGCGCAACCATGGACGCCGGATCAGCATTTTCTAGATTTTGACAACAATTTGTCATCTTCCCACATGTGCGAGTTTGATCCTTCGACTTGGCTGCCCCAACCCCCCAATTTGCCTGTTTCCAATGGCAGTACTAGTGTTTATGAATCCGTAAGTCCAATCTTGCTAGATGAGAAGAAACCGAATGTATACTAAGGCTACGTTTCTCCAGATCCCCATGAACGTCAATACTGATGGTGGGTGGTACTCGCAGATGGATATTTCTCTGTTCAGCCAGGACTTTCTTCCGCTGGATATAGACTATGATGTTACTTGTCAAGGTACTCTGGTGGACGACCATGCCTGTGGCCATCCTTCGCTCGAGGCGCCATATTACATGCTTTCAACAAGCCGTGATTCTGATCCCCGTACCATTCTAATCAACCCCGACGATTCTTTAAGCCAGTGGGTAATCAGTGGTAGCCCGGACTCATATGTGATGACGCCTTTCGGTAGCACTGACGATGAATGGCTGAGGCTACAACATAGAGCGCCTGATTCGCTGATTCGGCCCATGGACTTGGAGCCGTCGCAAAACATAAGACCATGCATCTCGTACGACTCAGTGCAAGTACCTGTACTCATCACCTGTACGCGGTTGGCGCCAGTGACCCAGTCAACGGCATGTTCTACTGCGCAATCCGCATCCACACAAGCGCTACCGACTCGGGAGAAACCCCTACCATCTAAGCGTAAACGCCATGTACTAGACAGCGAACATCATGACCGTTCATTGTGGGAGGTCGGACTGCGTATCTCGAAACGAGCCAGAGTACCACAATCGTTTGTCAACATCTTTTCGTACCAGAATCGAGAAGACTTTCCCCAAGGTAGAGGCCACCGTAAGAAGTCAGTGAAACAAGACATGCAAGATCTCGTTCTTACAGGTGGTGCGTGTACGCATTGTGTGCACATCAAGAAGAAGGCACGTCTAAACTCAATACTGTTTCCAACTGGGGCTAAGAGCTTGAGTGTTAGTGCGACAAACAACTTCCCTGTGCCATGTGCGCGAGATTATGGAATAGTTACTCATCTAGAACGGCACCAAAAGCGAAGCGGATCGACTGTGTATCGCCCGACAAATTTTCCAGTACGCATACATACTCCAGCAAGGTACGCCAAAGTCGCTGACTGTTGTTTCAGATGTTGCACTCCCAACCAAACTCGCACTGCGTCAGATATACGACGATATGACCGCGGTTCGCAGTTCTGCCTTGAGCCTACCGAAACTGCTGTCGATTATAGATGGTCTAAAGCCAAGTCAGAAGAGGTTTATACAATCTCTCTTGATGCATCTTCCATGGACAATACGACAAGACCTCGGGTGCTACTTCTACATATTCTTAATCATAGGTCGCACACAAAGCCTCTAAAACCCGTCTTTCGAGGCCAGTTCCTCTCCTAACATTCTCGACCAATGGCATATACTTGAGGCTTCAGCGTTACTTTCTGTACGCAACAGGATTCACATGCCAGAGCTCATCGAAGAATTTACTTCCATATCCAACATCAGCCATTTTATTTCCGGTACGCATGCACCGCCACTTGCCTCTATAGTGCGACAAATGAAAGACAGAAACAACAAGCACCTCGGTCGGGATGTTCGTCGATTTTCCGAGTTGTACATCATTCCACACCTTCCCGATGATCTCAAGGACGCCATAGCCTGGAGATGCAGGTTCTTTCCATGGTTTCTCTACGCTCTCAAGAGATTATGCCCGGATCTATCCGAACGTCTCAGGTTATTCAAGGGCATTGAAGATGAAGGTTGGCGTCAACTATTCGAATCATTCAGGAACCGTTCTTGTACCCGGAAAAACCTCAAACCAAGACTACTTGGTCTGATTGCAGGTAGCACCTCCCATGGTGTGATGGGCTGAGGCTCTGCAGTACGAATCTAAAAAGCTACGGGCCGTAGATTGGCGCCCCATTTCTTCCATCCACCCTTGATGCTTGGGCCAGAATTGCTGCTTTGCGTTGTGCGGAGTCACGGACCGGTGCGTGCCTTACGAAGCTGGAGTTGGAGCTGGAGGTTTCAATATTCGAAGAAGCGGGATGTGCCCTCAACCCCATGCTTATCGAAATCCCGCGCTCTGCTACTCCGCTTAGTACCGAAATTTCCAAGAAACATTCCCTCAATATCATAGGAGACAACGTCTGGCAAGGACGCTGGGGTTTTTATATCACGATAATGGAGGAAAGAGGTTGTGGGTCTAAGACCTATCGTGGCTCGTATGTGGATTAGGAAAATGCTAAACACTCAGACATCTCCGAGAAATCTACACTGCCTTGGAGATGTTGTGTGCGCAGTCTTTAGCACTAAAGTAGATGGCAGCGCACCTTTTCATTTTTCATTTCCTTGTATCACATGTCCAAATTTTGACGGGCTGAATGATGTCGGTCCTGTTACGGTACCAAAGGTTCTTATCTCAAGCACGAGTTCAAGAAATCATTCATTGTACACGGTGGCGGTGTGAAATTCTAGTAAGAGTTTGGAGCGACAAGTCTAGGCTTTCTCCCCTGAATATCACTTTGAACCTTTTCCAGGGTCCATCGGTCCAGAATGCAAGAACACGCACGTACGTGTTGCGCAAACCACCTCATTCCTTGTAGACGAGTTCATAGCCACATCTATATTTGTTCGAACACCAGGCGTTCTAGAATCTCGAGAGTGGGTCGCGCACCTGAATGAAGCAATCGATCTGACGCCGAAAGCATGTCGTGCGTTGTGACGCGCGCCCTTCCCCACAGGCACCCTACCTAGTATTCTGCGGGCAATCGGCGCAGGGGAAAGCTAGCCAGTTCCACGGTTCGTACGATGGAGCGATCCGTGGACTTCCATAATTAGTTTCCAAGGCTCAGCTGAACCCTTACTCTTAAGCTCGCGTTTGCACCTTCAATTGCTCGACAGTTTGCTACTACCATTTTACTAGAGTCAGAAGCGTTAAACGAGTGATCGTCCCCGCATCCGGCATCTTGCTCAAAGAAACCGGAACATTTACCCCGCAAATCATCGCAAGCCTCACACGACCCTCCCAAGGTTACAGCACACACAGCATACGGCACACGGGATACGCACTGCAGAAGAGATAATATGGCACCAATGAACAAGACACCAAGCGAAGAAGGTACGCACCTCCCTCATCAAGCACTTTCGTGCATTACACGTCCAAATGGAGAAGCACCCACTAACATGCCGTCACCCCAGAAATCGCAAACACCCTCGGCAATCTTGAGCTCTCAGCCTCGCATCCGCAGAAAACCGCGCAGAAGCCCAAATCCAAGCCCGTCGCAGATAGCTGGGAAGCCGAACTCAGCGGGTCGGATACTGAGACTGAGGATGTAGACCTCGGCAAGTCTGCACAGAAGGGCTCACCACACGATTCTCTACAACCCTTATCGACCACAACTTCGCGCGATAACCCGCCAAACCCGCCGCCGCCTACACCTGCCAGTCCCACACAATTCGAATACCCGGACAATGTTCCGTAC